CACGTTGTGAGCGAGAAAAAAATGAAGCTAAAATAATTCATGAAACTTCAAGTCTGGGTTCATCAGATTTCTTGAATCCTGTATTGAAAGGGTAGGTACAACTGAGCTAGCCGCCCCTCCTCACTTCCTTTTCCGCCACTCCTAGCCGCCGCCGCCGCCGCCTCCTGGTGGTATTTCGCCTTAAATGGCTACTCGTACAATTAAAAATCAGCTAAAACTGTATTGTTGTTGGTGCCCTCGCATGGTCCGTGGCATCAAAGGGAGGATTCCAAGCCCCCATCCCGATTTCCCAGGAATATGTGTAGTAACAGTGGTAAAATGCCAAGTTTGCACGACCTTGCGCCCAAGTTGAAGTAGAGTAAAAGGAAAAGTTGTCCGTTTTTGTTTCTCGCAAGAGATACGACTCCGATATCGTCTTCTACTTCTCTTTCCCTCCTCCAAGAAGACTGATCGGAAAGCTTCACGTCTTCCTGACGTGTCCTTTTTCTGTTGTTCCTCGCCGTTCCTCGCCGGAAAACACCATCTCTTCTGCCATTCGCAGACAAGGAAAAAATGTTTGAAGGAAATGATAAGACGTTTGCTTTGGTAACGATCGACTGTCGGTCTGCGGTTGCTCGCTCCAAAGGCGTGTCTTGTGGCGTCCTATTTGTGTGACGCCCCATATTTTGTCTAAAAAGCCGATATTCCGCTTCCCTTTGCAGGATGTAAACAAAACCAGCCAAGGAAAGTGTCGAGATCAAAATGCAGTAAACGCCGCCGGATGAATGCCTAGTCCCTTGGTGCCCGTCCGATGAACATGTTGAAGAGCAGGATATATACATTCAAAGATGAAGTCGATGCCGGGTATTGAAAAAGAAAAGTTGAGGTAAAGTAGGTGTAGCCAGTTTGTTGCTAATTGCATGAAGATAAAGCAGTGCAGGCGCTGCTGGATGGATAATAAGCCGTTAGGCAGTAGGGGGGTATCTGTTATGTGTGTATATGTGTGTTTGTGTAATGGCGCGGACCAGGCCGATCGTCGGGTCAGACTGGTTGTAGACCGGCCGATGAAGGTAGAGCTCGTCCGTATATGTACTTTGTATCTCGGGTTCCCTTGATAAAACAAGCCGCTTTCAGCTTCTCTCATCAGAGGGCTTAGGTCGGATTTGTCGAGCCTCGAGTTGGCGCTTCCGCTCCAATTTTGCATAATGCAGTCCACATGCGTTGCAAAGTGTGCGTGCACCATCAGGGCCTCGGCGCCATTCCGGGGTATCGATTCGGTTGCAGCTATGGCATCTTCCAGGAGGTGCAGCTCTCTGTTCCAGTAGGTCAGCACTCTGTTTCTCCGACAGAACAACCGCATGATTGACAAAACTTACCCCCCTACGCTTCTTGACTTCGGTGATGCCATAGGTCTTGTTCATACCGTCGTACATGGGGGTATCTTCATCATCGTAGCCCTTCTGTTTTCCAGCCGCCCGTACACGTTCATTGCTTTCCTTCACAACCTGTCGCACCGAATCCAGGGAGTTCCGGATGTACTCCACATTGTCAATCATCTCGTTCAATTCTTGCTCGGTGGGGAGTCGATCGTGCAGTGGATGATGAGCGCCCTGTTGTTCCGCGGCAATCTTGCCATAGGCCTCGGCGAAGTTAAAGATCGTTCTTGTTGCTGAACCAATCTGAGTGAACTTATTGGTAAGCTTGACGGACAGAAGTTTTTAGCGGGGCCACTCACTCTAGAAAAACAATCCTGATACCCCCACGCGTCGAGGTGTGTCCTGACCCGCGCAGGGCCATATTCGGGGTCTTCTCTGTGAGCTATCGGGCGCTGGGCCTCGTAGGGGAAAGGGGGAGGTGGACCAGCGTGACGCGGAGAGACAGGATACCCAGGCAACGGGACTTGTCCTGGCGGAAGCTGGCCCGGATGCTGGGGATGTTGGGGATGCGGATATATCGTCGGCGGAGGTGGAATGGAATGTTGAGCGTACGGGCCAGCGTTCTCGGCGGCACGCGCGTCGCTCTCGCGCATATCGCGCATATGCTCATGTTTGAGAGGAGGGCTCGGTTGAGGTCCAGAGAACCCGCCCAATGGCGCAGGCGGTCGACCTGCGAATGAAGGTCTCGGGGGATCTGAGATGGCCGGGAGAGCATCTTGCCTCGGCGCGAAGGTCGAAGCAGGAACAGGAGGTCGAGGCGAGTTCTTGTCCGTCGACTCGGCGTAAGACCTTGGAGGTCCAGGTGCAAAGGGCGAGGGGAAGCTTTGAGAGCCCGACATGCTGGAACCCTGAGAAGGGGGGTAAGGACTGGGCTTCGCACCAGAGATGACCTCTGAGAGCGAAGGGAGCGACTGTCGATGAGGAGTCTCCGACTCGTCTGATGGTCGTCGAGGTTCAATCGGCGAAATCATGCCTGCGATGCTTGGTCCTGGAGCTGGGTGGTGTTGGTAGCCGGAAGAGAAGGAAGAGGGAGGACCGTAATGGGAGCTCGGGCTAATAAGGGCTGCGGTCGCCATGGCGGGGCCGTCGCGGTAATGTCTATTATCGAGAGGCTCTCTGGGTGGGAGATGACGAGGTTCAAAGCGATCAGGGTTGATGGCAGAAGGTGGACGGCTGTTTAAAAGGTCTGATCAATACTTGGGTCTGGGAACGGGACGTGGGAACCAAATGAAGGCCAGAGCCAGAAGGGGGGGGGGGGTGTCGAGTAGAATCGAACCTACCTTTGCCTAGTACCAGATCCGCCCGCTTCCATAGCGGGTTTGCCGGGAGAACAGATGAATGGTGATTAAAACCCCAGATGCGAATATAAGTCTCTGTGCATCTGACTCGACCAAGGCGTGAGGGGACGAGAGTGAGCCTTAGTTCGTGAAGTCGGTGTCAAGACGGGAGTCCGGTGAAGTTTGGTGCAGATGGGTGGAGATGATAGGAGAGACGGTCCAAGGTGGGAGGCTCAGAGTCATGTAAGAATAAAAACCGGGCAGGGAAGAAGGGTTACAGAGACGAGTGGAAGAGTGCAAGAGTGAAAGATGGGCGAGCGAAACCAAACCAACCAAAGACAGAGTGTGTGGTGGTAAGGTGTGGTGTGGTGTGGCTTGGCCTGGGACGAGAAGACGAAGTTAGGTTAGGTTAGTCGAACCTCTCTCTCTCTCTCTCCAGCTGGGTACCCGGTAGGCAAGATCTGATCAAGCTATCGGGCGCGTGTGGTATGCGTGGTGGCGGGACGGGAAGGTCACCGCATGTATCTTTCTCTTGGGCTTCGGTTTGGGGGGGCGTGTGATGAAAAGGGGGTAGAAAAGGAAGGGGGGCGATAGATCGGGGATGATGCTGGCTCCAGTTGGGTGTGTCGAAAGATCCGGAGCTGAGAAAGAAAAGCCGCCTAGCGTTGGTCAAGTTACCACGCTGCTCTTTGTGGCGGCTTTTGGAATATTTCTCCCAAGACACACTGTCAGAATCCCTCGTCGAGACTAGTCCGAGTGTGCTAATTTCAACTGGGTCTGGGAGTGAGACTCAAGGAGGGGGGCGTGGGCTCGCGAAGATACCGTGAACCTGGACCGGTGGGAAGTTCTGAATTTCTTTTCGATGCCGATGCTTTGTGGTGCCGGTCTAGTGCCTGGTGAAGCGGGCGCCCTTCAACAAAGTGCTGAAGAGACAGATGTATGTTCGTACGTCGATGAGAAGCCGTGGCTCATATGGCGGCGCTTGTGCCTCTATCGTCGTCCGGCAAGTTGAGCCAGATGAGTCGGTGGATAAAACGTGATGAGAGATCGCCTGTCTAAGCGCGGGAGGGTTTATCACCGGCTGGTGTCTGCCGATTTGTGCCTTGAGAGTTTGGCACAAAAATGTGGATTGGGGGTGGTTAGACTCGATGCGGTGAAGGGGATTCGAGTCTTTCGATGTGTCGAGGTAGAGGGGATTTTGATGGATGTGTGAGAGGAAGAGGAGCAGGAAGAAAAGGGAAGAAGAGGGAGGGAGGAAACGCGGTTGTGCGAATTATGGGAGGAAATGACAGAGGTATTATGAGACCAGCGACGGACTGGCACTCACTCAGGGCTGGGTATGATTTCTGAGTGGACGTATATTTCGCATACATTTATGATAAAGTACAGAGGTACCTGCGCGGCAACAGGGGGGGATCATCACAGGAGGCTTTCGGTACAGTGCCTCAACGGCGGAACGTCCATGTTCCCTTTGCTCCTGATGGACCAGATCCCTTCCCTACGCAGTAAGGTAAGTGTTCTTGGGGTTGTGGGGGGAGGGCATGGAATTGATGCCCGGGGGACCAGATGTGCGGTGTGTTGGACTGAACCGCCTGGGGCCAGAGGGAGATGCGTGTGCATGTACCGGTCAGAGCAGACAGGGGGCCCGGGGGAGCCAGGTAACGCATCGTATTGTCAAGGTATCCATCCAGTCGACGGCCCGGGGTGAGAGGAAGGGGGGAAGTTTTAGCATCTAGATTGGCGGCGACTGAAGCTCGATTGATTGACTGATGTGCAGATGGCCTGCATTCGGAGCTTCACCTCTTGGGATTTGTTCCGTTCCGTGCGGTCTCAGTGAGCCTAGGCGACTCGAGCCACCATCCTGAGGCTTCCTTGCCGAGGGACGGGACAACGTAGTACGAGGCGAGAGTGTCTATGTGTAAGCCGCGAACTGGTACTCTCAGTTGGTTGCGATAGATGCAGACTGGCTTGACATCAAACGTTGGAGACATTACTCCGAGAGGCGTCAGGAAGTTCTCATAGCGCCGTGCGGCAACCAAAAGATCGGCCAAGGGCTCGCCAGGCACTCTTGCCTGGACTCAGCTTCAGCCTATTCAGAGTTTAGGACGCACAGTCGCCCAACTCCTCATTGGGAGCACTGAATATCTAAAGAGTTCCGAGTTCCAGGCTCTCAGCACCCACCCATAGTCTCGACTGCGAACAAGTGCCCTTCCAGTCGAGTACGGACATGCCAATATCTGATGACGAAGAGAAAATGGTACGACTTTTTGCAGCGTAGGGGAGGCGCCCCACGATAATTGGCCCGCTGTCACGGCTGGATCGCAGATTGGCTGTTGAGGGGGTCCTGCGGCTGGGCAGGGGGGCTCGCTGGGATCATGATCGGTGATGACTGGGGGGGAACTGCAGCGGAACACCTTCCAGTCACCAGCGACAATAGCGTCGGCATCAGCGTTAAGTTTGCCAGTCGCTCTTGGCCCTTGGAATTGCGCTGGGTTGCGGCAACGCTGACACTGTTGACCCGACGAAGTGACAGCGGCGATGAGCTGAAGGATGCTATCAGCGGTCTGAGTTGGGCTTCGATCAAAGGTCTATTGATAGCGTTCCGTATCTTCTTGGTAAGATACATAGTGATTGCACCAGGCTGTATCGGTTTGTGTAAAGACTGGCAACGAAGAGATCGAGGGCGCAAGATTGACCGAGAATCAGAAACGTTGATATGGCCAACCCGTTGCGGATACTGTGATGCCGTCGGTGAAGAACGTGACAGAAGCAACGTCTCGATTGCCGGGTGGGTGCCAGACAGTGGCGTGAGATGGAAACTGTGCTTTGTCTCTCCGTGCCTTCATTTCTTTCCACCCATGCTTGATCCATCTTCCTCTTAGCGATGTCACGAAGCTGGCAGTGACTGTCGTTGACAATCCCTGGACGACCCTCGACGACAGAGACTCTGTTCACTGTGACGGCCCCAAGATATGGAGGCATCCAGTCGAGCAGCTCAAGGGTTCATTCGTGAGGAAGCCGATAAACGGGGAGTGGGGAAAGACTCGAGGAGGGGAGACAACTGGCGCTGGGAAGTGTCAAGGATTCGGCGCCGGAAGCTCGAGCACCAGGTAGCCCGTGTGATCCCTCAGAGCACCCTGTCCTGGTGATGTTGGCAGCAGCATGAGCCTGATGGATGGGCGAGGTATCCGTACCGGGGCGGCACATTTCGAATGTCAGATGTCTGTGACCAGGGGTTGTCGTTGGGTGATTTGCAAGGATGGTGGCAGGTATACGTCTCCAGATGGATCTCTTTTCACTTTCCAAGGTATCCGGTGTCGCCCTTTTTTCAAATGAGACTCGAAGAGGGGATCGATCAGTGAGACGGCCAAAGCTTCGAAGCTGCCCACGGCTGCTCAGAGCTTCTCGGAGCTCTCTAGAGCTATCGCTTGTGCTTGGTAGGATGCAGCACGCTAATATTCCAAATGATCGCCACGGGCATGTGTATAGATACAAGGCCTGCTGCTGGCTGAGCTGGATGTGACAGGTGATGATGGACTCTTCTCTGCCAAGCAATGAAACAAAGGGTAATTGACTGGCAAGCGAATCGCATGCAATGGGGAAGTGTGTTGATGGGATAGAGGGCCCGGACCTAGGTCCGAACCCGACTGGACTGACGTCGGGATAGGTTTTTTTCGGCTTCACATATTCCCAGCCTCTCAGGCAGCCACGCTAAGAAGCTAAGGCTCCAAGGCTTCAGTCTGTCATCTCTCGGCCCAATTATGGACCGCGCCGATGCGTCGCCGTCCCGAACTTTCTTTCAGAGGAAGGAAAGGATTGGATAAGTATCTGGAGGGAAGGAACACGCTCTGGCCATGTGATAAGGAAGGGGCGTGTCCTCCCACTTGCTCGCAATGGCCACAGACGGCAAGGGGAGCGTAAAAGAGCACTCGAAACAGTTGGAAGGATGAAGGGGAGAATTATGATGGACTGCAAGCCGGAACCAGGGAAGTATCCGTAAATGGTACCTTGGTCGCGATCTGGGCAGAAGGGAGGTAAGGTACGGAGTAGACAGCGCTGGAGTTCCCTACTATGGCCACGTGCTGTAGCCCACCTGTTTGAAGCCTTGTAAGGTCGAGCGAGTATCCTCCCAAAGAACCCGAGGTGGAAACCTTGGAACCTTGAGTTCCCGAACACAACTTGACTTGGGAAGTTTGCCATGTACCTTATTATTTCGGAGTAGTCCAGGCTCGCCAATGAAAATCCGAGAGTGATACATCGTACGGAGTATGCCGATGAGCAATGAAAACCATTGCTTCATCCCATCCAGTACTGATTTACTGAGGTGCCCCGGCTCACTTGATGGACTCCACTCACAACGACCCAGTTCACTCACAGTGAGGTATCTGAATGAGAGAGCCCAGTGCCCGAAACTGAAAATGAAGGGTGAGGTGACCATCGAATCGAATCGACGGGAGGAAGCCGCCCGCCTGTCCATCGAACCCACGCCCTTCCCTGCTGCCTTGTGGCCTTGGGCGGGAATTCCACAAAGATCCAATGGGAAGACCCATTAGAAATCGGATAAGATGGGGCCCCTTCTCTTAGGTAATCCAGATCCATCCGAGCTTCTCCCAGATACGCACCCACCAAAGTGACCAAACGTTGTGCAGTCACGCAGTGTGCACTCCCCGTCGTTCATGGGAGCTTCCTATCCACCTTTTCAGAGTATCCACTTTCCTTGTTTTTTCCCTCTCTTTTGGTTTTTTCCCACCTCATCTTTCTCTTTCTCTCTGTGGTGTGTGTGTGTCTCTCTCTCTCTGCCTGCATGCCCCTGGCCAACCACCGGTATTCAATCCTTCAACTCTCTTTCGTCATCCCCTTTGGCTGACATCCGTTTAGCAGCAGCTTTCTCCAACTTCCTCCAACCGCTGTCCCTGTCCATCAGCCGTCATGGCTTGCTCTGTTGCACGCCCGTCACATCATTTACCTTTTTTGGTTTTCGTCGCTCTTGGTTCCTGTCCTTGTCAGGGTCCCGGAGGAACTGGGCAGAAAATCCATCCGACCGAACCCTTGACATCAAATTGCACCGCTGTCCGAGTAGCCGCGAACCCATGTTGGTCACCGATGTTGGTATCAGGTCCCAGGCACACCGTCCTCACGGTCCTCTGCAGTACCGGTACGGATACCCTTCAGGCCACCATCCATCCATCGGCCATCCATCAAGACACCATCGAAAGCTCATATCCACCACCACACCCCCGTACGTCATATCATGCCCATGTCTCTTCTACCAACGCGGCAACACCTCCTCCCACCCAGGCTTGGATGACTGCTCACTGGCGGTCGTTGACCGAGGGTCTTTTTGGAGTTCGTACGGATACTCCCTCCTGCAATACCCCCTGCCCACCCCATCATCTCGCGCAGTCCAACTTGGCCTGTCAGATTTTCACCCCGAAAATCTGGTTGCAAGAATTCGCCTTGTGATAGTTCACGTTGACCAGCGGCATGTCGCTTTATAATTGGTCGTACTGCACATTTCTATTGCTGACCTGCTGTATTCACTATGCCCCAACCCCTTTCATCCTGGTCTCCATCTGGCGTAACAGCTCGACTTCTTGCAGATGTCAGAGCAATCCCAGGCTTTGCCACTCCTGTCGCCCTTCTTCCCGAGTTGCCAGAGGCCTGGAGGCTGCGGATACTCGAACCCTTACAAGGCAAGCCCCTTGCTCTTCTCCACGATACACTGATAGAGAACAGAAAAAGCTAGAATTGGGCATGCCAACGTCAAGCCCTACAGACCTCCAACTCACGATAGTGCTGATCGTGGCACCACACCAGATCGTCCCTAACAGAATGAGTTTTCTCGGATCTGGACAAGACATTACTGGCGGATTGAGTATCCGTTCACCGTCTCGAGATGTGGCCGTGAACTGCGTTGGGCTCTTCATCGGCGATGCTTTGCTACCATCCACCAAGCATCAAGCCGAGCTCTCCGGAGAACGTCAATTGCGTCTCCCCTTGGATCAGGCTGGTCCGCGACTGTCATACCATGAATTGCGTCGCGGCTAAGGATAAGTAGCCGTCGGTTATTCCTACCTCGCGGAACACTGTCAAAACCTCAACGCAGCTCGCCGGCATGCAGCCATTATATCGGCCTGCTTGGCTCTTTCCGGTCCGGCCATATCGACTCGCATTGCAAGCCAATGAAGGCTCAGCACCACCTCGTCGCGTTCAGTTATCTCGTTGCATCTTCACGTCTCGTATTCACCTTGAAAAGGCGGCGACCCAGCGCCCAAATTGACCATCTACCGGTACCCGTACCTCCCTAAGGTTCAACGAGTGTGCGGGTAATCATGCACGATACACTTCGTACGGATGCCCATCGTCGGCTAGATTTTCGCCAATTACCCACCCACTTCGCCAACTTCGCTGGGCTTTTGGGACCAACGTTGTCTATAGAAATCAGGGGTCCTTCCTGAACGGTTCTTAGCGCATCGCCTGGCCCCGTCTCGGTGCATCCGCGTCAAACGGGGTTACTAAAACCATTCAACTCGGCCAGTCAACCACAAAATCATCTCTCCACCTACGGCCCCTCCTTCCAGTCGATTGGGATGCTGAATCGTATCATGTCTTTCCCACCCAATGGTGACGAGCGCTCTTCGAGCATGGAATCTACAGCCCTGCCGTTCTGCCGCCTAAGTTTGCATACACCCCAGCAATTTTCTAGTCGTACCCGTAGCCCACGAGCATTTATTCGTTGTTATTCCAAAGAGTAGCCGACTGCTGCGATGGCGGATCAAAGGCTGGGCCCGCTAGGCTTTTAGCAGAGCTCGCACCGGCTTGCTTATACTAATCGGATCTGACAACCAAGATACTACAGATCTAGCTCGCTTGATACGTGCGGCTCAAAAGTCAGTGCTTCGTCTAGTTGCTAAGCTGGCACGTCGTTAGCACCTGGCACCCCGGAGGCACTGCAGCCGATGGATATTCTGACTTTGTACGAATAGACAGCAAGAGCGCTACTCCATTTCTGTGTACCTCATCCGTGCCGCCGACCTTACACTAGACTGATAGAATATCGCTCAGCCTCTCTGAACTGACGACTACGTACTCTGTACACTACCAATATCGACCCCTGGAGACGTAATTTGCATGCACAGTTTTCGGACAACATGCCTGCAAGCCAGTCGCGTATTGGCGTCGATCATTACCATTCTGAATTCCAGCTTTCTGATGTTTCGGCTCCATAAACTCAAATGCACCCACGAAAGAGTTGCAGGATCTACAGGTCTCATCTCAAGCCTCTCAAGCCTCTTTTGATTAAAAGCTGTCTAAGTATCCGCATCTGCAGCGATTCTTGGGGGCCATGTTGGCGTTCGGCAATTGCTCACCAAAGGAGCCAACTCTTGTACTTGAGCACTGATGCCCAACGAAATACAAGCGTCGCGACCTGAATGACGAAGGGTCCCCGGCTTCTTGTCATTTCTAGTTCACTAGATCTGCAACCGCCAGAGATCTACGTCTCAGCCAGACTCTTAGTATCCGCACCGCGTCTTACATGGCAACCTGTGTTGGCTCGACCATCCTCAAGTCTCGACGGAATGGAACAAAGATGACTGGCGTGGTACACAACGCTCAACACCTAACCCTCTGTTTCTGGGGCTCGGGCTGCCCACCCAAAGGGCTAGCAATGATCACGAGAGGGTGATCTATCACTAACAGCGCGTCACAGAGGGCCACTCTGAACGGCCAGTCGTGATCGGCAACACTACGCGGTGCACAGGCGGATTTTGAACCAAGTGGCGAATTGTGGTTTTTTTTTTTTTTTTGGGGGGGGGGGGGGGTTTCGCAGAACGCCGAGGTCCATTGCTATTCCGTAGGCGAGCAACCGCTGTTGATCTAACCATCGTCATCTTGAGACCGAAATGTCAAAGGATCATCAAGCTGAAGAACAACCGGGACCTGTCGACATCATAATACCAAACATATTCGTACCTGGCACGACAACAGTTGAACAGACCTAAGTTTTGACATGGAGTGTCAATGTCAGGTTTCACATACCCTGGCTGCACTGGGATATGGTTGTTACGTTGCCAGCACCATGTTCCTTCTACCTGTTCCAGGCCCCCCATTATCGCGTCTGGAATAATCGCCTGTGCGTAACGGAGTAATAGCCGCACCTGAATATCTCCGTCAGATGCTGTGAAGAGGTAATCTGATGTAAACACTGAATAAAATATGCACAGGTGATCATCCATCTGTAAGCCTCCTTGTGATACTCTCGGATGGACTTTTGCCTGCCTGGCGAACAATGCTTAGCTGACTCAGAGGTCGCTTTTCGCAAAAATAAGACAACAATAACGACCGTCGAGGCTACGTACCATGGCAAGTCCGACAGCTTGGTGGATCTTTTTGATGCCGGGATACGCGAGGTGTCATTCCGAATAGTGGACGAGGTCAGATGCCCGGCCACGCGAGAAAAGGCATGGATACTCCCCGGGCTGCAGCTCTTGTCGAGCCGGCAAAACCTGACGTCGAATACATCTTCCACTTACTTACTGTTTAGCACAAAACTTTGTAGAGCCTACAAATATTGTTCGTACGTCTCCGGCCACTGCTGTTCGGTGCTGGGGGCTGCTTGTTTCTCCCCCAGCTTGAACGAGGAAGACGCCTTCGCACTGGAGTCTCAAGGGTGGTTGTGGCTGATTTAAGCCAGGACGATCGATTCTGACAGGGCACCTTCGGGTGATAACTGACGCTGGGTGCAACGCAGGAGACGAAAGATGTCGAGACAACACTAGACTATGCGAAGAGCAGCCTTTTATGATGGTCATAGACGCCCGCACGCGGTTGACAACATATCTTGTTCCGCGAGGCTTCGAGGCAGACTGCTGCAAACTATTGAAGAGATGGTTAGTGGGCAAAGCTAACTCATTGGCAGGGCTGCTGTTGATGCGGCCGGTTGTACGACCAAACGGCCATTTGCCTTGCTCGGCGTCGTACTTGACCCCGCCAGAGATCACACAACCACACTCCATAATGCTTGTGCAGAGGCACGTATAACGCTCGCTTACCTAGCCAAAGCCTGGCTATTTACCGCTATGGTGCTCCGCACAACTATCAATTCGTTTACGAATTCATAGTACAAAGAGAAAGTAAATCAACGGATCCCACTCCGGGAGGGGTTCTATTGAAATCTCTATAGTGCACCCTAGTGCTCGGTCCACGTACAAAATCTAGGATGATGACCTCACATGTTTTCGCTGAAGGATATCTGGCAACCTCGGCTACTCTTGGTTGCTTTAGAAATGAAGCTTTGGGGCCGCAAATCCAAGAAGATACGCCGGTGGCTCGCAACGCCTCACTGACCTCGTGCAAATTGGAAATAGCACAGGGCAGTCTTCAAAGTCACCGGCAGAGACTACCTTTGTCGATAGCAGACACGACTTTTCACGATACGCCGACCTCCAAGACCTGCATCATGCCAGAAATCCAACAGTAGCACTATATGCAGGTTATGCGATCATGGTCCAAACAAGCAGCTACAAAAAAATCAAGGCAAGGTACGGAATGGTAACCTTGTCGTCGGCAGCCGCTCGTGTGATACCCGGCTGCGACTTATAACTCTTTGAGTGCTCCTTATGCCATGCACAAAATGACATTGATAGGACTGCTTCGTCGGGGAGGGCTTCTGCTATTGAGTTTCAATGTGTCAGCGACACGGTGCGGTGTCAGAAAGATCGTCGCTCCATTGAGATTAACACAATCAGTCCAAGCATGGCGGGGCTGTTCTCTCCGATGCGGGACCCGCGGTGCCAAAGCAAGATTTAATTCCCACTGGCGGCGATGGAACGATGAACCCGTGGTTTCACAGGTGCAGACTGCAGCTCGTCGAAGCAGGCAGGGCAGGGCAGGGCCCCGAACTCATTCTTCTCTCTTATTTTCCCTGCCTCCAGGCCAGGCCAGGCCAGGCGTCTTCGGTCCACTCCAGAGACCGTTCAGGCTTCAGCGGATTGCATCTGTCCCCCCATCGATAGGATCCCCCCAATCTAAGAAAGTTCATGATTTTGGACCCGCCACGGCCTCGGACAGCGTGTCCCGCGCTGTGCTATCCATGCCACCCTGTCCCTGAAGGTCGTTTTGCATGGGAGACAGGAAAGTACCTGTGCCGTACCCTCCGATTTCGTCGCCGTGCCATCGTCTATGGATTCGAACGGATATGCATCCACCGGAAAGATTTGAATTGCGGTCCTCGCGCTCGAGCCTCGCGTGGTGGAAGCAAGCGAGAAGGAAAAGAGAAGGCCATCTCCACTTGTTCTGTTCATGCCGATCCCTTGTCGCTGACTATCACTATCAACCAGGATTGGTTTATTTTCTCTTTGAAATCATCACATCATGGGGGGTAGCCGCTAGTCGGGTCGATTGATCTTGACAGAATCGAGTTCAAGGACGATGTCAAATGTCCGTGACGTCTCGGGCCTGCTAGTGTACACCACGAGGGTTTCGGCGGGGCCGGCGGCCCATTCTGATTTCTGAGCCGAGAGCCTGAAAGAGAGAGACAGAAAGAGAGACGGAGAGAGACAACATGGCCAGGATGCGGTCGGAGTCAAAGTGAAGCATGGGGGTATTGCTGGCGGGTACGTTGCCTTGAGCTACTGCCCAGTGCCCAGAAGCTACCGTTGGAAACCCTCACGCCAACGACGGAGGAGCGACATTCGAGGCCAAAGACTGTTTGGTATGTTTCTAACAAAAGGTACGGACACCATCTGAGCTCAATCTGCCCCTAGATCTCACGAGATTCAGAGTCTGGACTCCGGATAGTATAACCCCGTACGGATACACCTACCCAAGTCGTCAATAGCCAATACCATAATTGACAAGTGGATTCCATTCGGACTCGCCTTACCGCCTCCTCTCCAGATCCACCATATATCAAGTTAACTTTACTGGCTTCCGCTCGTCTCGTGTAGACAGATGAACAGACAAGGTTGGTGCTGGTAACGGAGAGGTGCTTTGATGCTTCGCCTGCCTCCCCCTCCCCTTCTCGCCTTTTTGGACATTGCCCACTCCCTTCCAAGGTTCCCTGGCCTGGGCTGGTGAGCGTGGGCTGTCGGGGTAGGTATGTACACCTGCACGTGGAGCTTGGAAGTAACTCTACTTTGAACCGTTGAAAGTTTCTGACAAGGCCGGGGCACGAACAATAGCCTGATTAGGTCTCCGGTACGAGTGGCAGTCGACCCTCACAGCACATGCCACAAGTCCCTCGTACCTTGCGCTTCCACCGGGTGCTTGTGTTAGTTCCCTGCATGGTGGAGAGTTCCCGTCATTTGACAGCTGCGGCGGGTGCCAAAATGGCGTTTTCCCGACGTCCCCTTGGAATCCTTGGGATCCTTGGGATCTCGCTTCCCCTTCTTCTCTCCACTTTTCCTTCTCGAAAGAGTTCAGAGTTGAAACGGCCGAGCACTCGTTGGTGGCCTCTCCTCTCGACGGAAGTCCCTGGGCTCTGTACTCCTCACTCACGGTCCAGGGCTCAGTCCTTGACTCCTCCTAGCCAGACTCACACAGCACACCTCGCTGCTCAGGCAGATGCTCCTTGTGGCTCCCGAATACATACCTACGAATACACTATTCGTGTGGGCTCAACCCAACTTGCCAATCACCCACCCACACCCCCTCTCCACGATCGAAGTTTCGATAATCCTTCTCAGTGCTGCCCTGCTGGTGCTATTACCAAGGGTCACGGAACATCAAACCGATCATCGTCTGCGCCTATTCGTACCTCACCAGCGGGGTTCGATGAAGCGGGCCACCATCTCCAGCTATGACTCTCTATCCACGCGTCCTTAACAAGCGAGCAGAAAAAAGGCACACGTCCGGCGGTCACTGTCGACTCCGGCATGACAATCAACAACATTATGCGTATCCGTATGTACGGATACAATGAGACAACCATAGCCGAGTCTTTGACAGGCAAACAAACTGCAATGTACTTGTTGTCTGTCCAGTCATCTGTACGGAGTACATACGCATACAGAATCGCGCTTTAGCCCACACGGACCCCCATATTCGTCTCATTCTCCTCCTGCTCCTCATTATCGTATCGTCGCGATCTATTTTCGGCCTGAGCCCCAACTATTTTATATCACTGGATGTTGCGATTCCGAGCTGAGATTTCAAAATACGTCAGACTAGGAGGGATGCCCGTTTCACTCGAGAATCCGAAATGCCGCGATAATTGCACCCACGCCAACGAGGTAGCAAGAGCCTATTGCGACTCGACATTGCTTCAAGCCTGGCGTCGCAACGGACGTACTGTCTGCCGTCTGCATCTGCGGGTAGTGAAGGCCGGAGAAGGGGGCGTGTTGGAAAAGCGAGCAGCGAGCACCCCAACACATCCACGCCACACCCTGGTCCATCGCCTCTCTGATCTCCTTACCGCATCTTGACTTCATCTGCAGGATTCATGCCGCTTGCTTCCTGCCAAGTTACCTTTGCCCTGGTCTTGCCGCGTACCTACGACCAACCAAGATGAGATCGACGATGCACATCCAGACAGCCCCCCTTGCAATCCTCTTTGTAACCCGCCGTGGGCACGACGTCGCCCAATCCAGCAAGCACATCTCCTTTCGGCAGCCTTGCTCGACCAGTGGCTCTCTTTCTGTCGCGCAATGTGCCTACACCCCCTTTCTCCCCTCTGCATTAACCGTTGTCGCCGCCACCGTTGGTCATCTCGTCTGCAAGAAGCGGAACCAAACCGTCTGGCACACGGGTACGATGTTCGCGGCCACTTCGGTGAGCGTTGCGTCCACTGGCCACCCACTGAGATCGTTTGCTGACACCTCGGCGTCTCTCGCGGGATCTTGCGCGTTTCTCACGATCGCATGCAGGCTTACCACCACTCGATATAAAACATCAGCCCTGGTCCAAGTCACTCCCTGGCAGGCTACACTGGCGCGGTTCACGATTGACTTTCCGCTCGATACGGGCACTTCAATCCAACCGTTCCTAATCGGAGCTACTGCCTCTTCAGGAAGCCGTCTCCAGCTTATGAGCAAATCACAACTGCCATCATCTTCTGCCTCGCTCCGCTTTATTAGGACATGCGCCAGATCCGGCCATCGCTATCAAAACATCACATCTCAATTCTTTGACTGGGCCGTTTCCGCTGTTTCGACATGGGTTTGCATGCGGGATCTTGATGTACTCCTCAGGTACCCAAAGAGTCACGATCCAGCATCCAGTCTCCCGTGGCGCGGGTTCGTCGATTTCCTGTGATCTTTAACCACGCCGGAGTGCGGAGGGTTTCTCATGAAAACCACATGAAAGCGACATTGACTCCAGTATTACGAGCATCAAAATCTCCTGCAGACCCAGTCCTGTCTTCGAGCTGGTGGTCCAAGATTCGACAGCAGCTCAGTACCGGCCAAACACCCCAGGACCTCATCTCGACGCGACCCATTTGCGTTGCTGCCGCCGGGTATGTCAGATCATGCTCATGTTTGTTTTCTAGCTTCATATGCAGATCCCCATTCTCGAATCCTGGCGCAGGTAACTGGCTGCTATACTCACGACCCAGGAGTGCCGCCTCACCGACCTTGGGTCGATATGCCGGGCCGCTATTCAAAGTCACATTGCAGTTGACATATGCAGCCACCCACAATACTGATGGAGTAGAGTAGTGGCCGTCGACGTTCCGTCATTTTGATAAGTTTCGACAGCTTGTCGTCAAAATCTCCATCCATTGCTCCTGCTCCGAGGTGCTTTGCAGGCGTACATCTGCAGCATGTGATGAGTTGTGGCCAAACCGGGCTTTCAAAGTGCGGCCGCACTTTGCGGTTCAGTCCGTCAACCCCGATTTCTTGGGTGAAAACAAAACAGGAATGCATTGCTGCTTAGCGCTACTCAAGGATGTGTCAGGCACGGTGGCACGTCCCGAGTCCGAGGCGATAGCAGCTAGCTCACGACTCACCATGTGGCTTCAGCTCATGGGCCAGACGACATGCTCACCCCAACCACAAGTCGAAGCGAGGCCACCACTGCTACCCCGTCCGCAGTAGGATCTGAAAGACCCGACCCTTCCATGGAACCCTCACTTCATCATTTCATCAATATGCCGCCGTCTTCGATGCGCTGATACCTGGGTAGGGTGGCATTTCACCATCACTCGATCGTTCGTTCACACCAGCAAAATACGTTCATACTGGTCAGTTGATGATCTGCCGTCCCTGCAATCGGTGACTGCCCATGCAACCATAAGCCGTGTGGTTACGTCGAAGCCCAAAGATCCTGGCGCGAAGATCGTTGCCTATAAGCCTCCACCATACTGCATACAACAGGCGAATGCACCTCGCAGGATGGCGGACGGCCTTGAGATCAACTCAGGTCGGCCGATGCGAAGTTGGAACAATACCGATGCACGACAGCTGTTTCCAATCAACACTGGGTGAAAAGGCGCAACTACCATGTTGTCATCGTCTCTTCATGAGTGGCTAAGCATCCGCGAACCAGGGAAGTTGGACGGAAATTCTTCATCGCAACCACCGCCCCAGGCCCAAGCTGGCCGGTGCGCGACGCCGCGCACTTGAGCCTGGATCATCGACGTACGTAGATTCATCGAATATCTCAAGCAAGAAGCAGCACTATCGGGATGAAGCGCGGACTAGATGCGATGCACCCGGCCCTCGTCACCAGTTCCCTAGGATCTGGCTCTGACATGCCAATTAGGCTTGGCTCATGGTGCGATCGTCTGATCTGGAGATCGGTCTGCCACGCAATCCACACACACTCACGCGCGCGCACCATCATCTCGCATTTTCGTCCGGCAAATAAAATGTCACGAACAATACCACTCACCCTTCGGATCGAACGGGGCTAAGGGGATATGGAGCCTGACCGGTGAGAGTGACTGCATCGGCAATAATATCGAACCCCAGCTCTCGGGCGACGGTAGCCAAACACAGGAGGCGGCGGCTCTCTTCGCGACAAAATGGTCCGACTCCTGGGGCACAACTATGGTCTATCGGCATATCGACTCCAGTCATCAGCATGCTCTGGTGCATCTCCAGCTACCAGCGTCTCGTCGGTAGTGTCAGAAGTTGGAAAAGAAATTGTCTAGCGCCCGAAGAGGTCATCAACCCCGCTTCCCGGCCATGTGGTTAACACACTCAGGGCCCTCCCGGTAAGGAGATTAGAGTGGTTGGCGAGACAGGTAGCCCCATGCTCTTCCCAGGTCTCGGCAACGAGATCAGGCCAGAAAGAGCCCGTAGTCGATTGCTCGCCCGTTGAAACAACCCCACGCCGCAAGCCAACGGAAATCTGGTACAGAAACGGCGCTATGCCCGGCCGTTGAGGTGACGTCGACTTGCGCGACTTCAAGACTGCGGACGTACGCACGGCCGGATCTCTGGCAAGACGCTTCCAACAAGAAACGGCTCATGAATCACTTCACACGAGAATGGACCGTTCCTTTACAGTGCGGGAAGCCATTCTCGACTCCCGAGAAGAGATCAAACTGTACCTAGCCTTTCGGCCGAGGAACGGCAGCAGGCGTTAGACTGGAACGTCCACACTCTGAATCTTACGACCGTTGGAGGAGAGCATTTTCCATTCGTGGAATACAACGTTGATTTGTGTGGTTTCACCATCTCACCTGCTTGACAGGATTGCATCCTTTCGTTACCTGTTTTGCCATGTTTAGCGCCAACCGAGTGGCAATGACAACATGAAGCTCCCATTGATCTTGTTAAGCCTGCGTCTCAACAAATCGCGTCCACGGCTCTTGGTTCTGATGCAAAGGGGCGGACGAAGTTAGGCGCACTATACTCACAAGTAGACGCAGACGTTGAGATCCGATTCTACGGCAGTAATCTTCGGAACCGTCCAACAGCGTGTCAGCCAGCAAACCCCGAACCTCGTTTCCTCAACCCCGGCGATTGATCGTGGTGACGGGCAATAAGTCTGGAGTATCTCGTCATACGTCGCACAACGTTACCGACAAGTTTTTGGCCGTCGCACTTCAATGGTTGGCGCCTCTCGGAATCAGACCGTGGCCATGATCCTCCCTGTTTTCTTCCCGGGTCCGTTTCTTATTGCGAACCAACGGCCAATGCTACAACGAATGAATCAAACCTGGCTGTTGCACCAATCGCGAAGGCCCTCTAGCTTACTGTGCGCCCGCTCATGATCCTCGCCGTCGTTCTAGCGCGTGCTTCAAGACAGGCTGGGATTTCACCCATAATCCATAGGGAAGTTGTAAGTCTCGAGATTACTCATGTGTAGCAGCGGCACGTGTCTATCAGTACAACGAATCTCCAATTCAGTCACAGGGCAGAATATATGCCACCTGTCACGACGGGTACCGACCCCACGGGTACAGCGGTTATGTTAATATTCCGACTGCCAGTTTCTTTGGCTGATCAGAAAGAAAAGGTGCCTAGCACCAGACCAGTCTGACAATGTGCTTAGCTCCCGCTGTTCAGCCTTACGACGTTGGGGCCGTCCGCAAACCTAGACGACTTAATCTGGGCGACGTTTGCTTGCTTTTTCCTCTGAAGCTCGGTTGTCCAGATCGACCGAGGTGCGCCGTCGTATGATCACGGGAACCGTACACCTTTCATTGGGAGATTTACGGCACAATTGGATGGCTGGCGATCTACATCCAGTCTTTGGCAGGCGCAGGACCGAGGAAACGTCGTATACGAGAAACACTGCAAACAATACGTCTTGCTATCGCTTCTCGAAACCCATTCCACCGTTTCACTGAGATCTCGCTGACGCTCACCAGATGCCATTTTTGCCCTCTATTCCCGTCGCCACCGGGGAACAAATAGCTTTCCAGCCGAACACTATTGTTTGAGATCGAAGTCACAATACGAGGCAAGATCGAGCAGAATCATACAGGGCATTGCCGGATCTGGCCATCTCTGCAGGAGATCCCTTCTTGTCCCTGCTGGCGGCCCTGTATGGGTGGACTGAGACATCCGCGGGTGTTCAGGTGCTGCTGCCAATGAACTGTCAGGACACGTCTCCTCCAAGCTCTTTTTCTCGTTGCTTTTTCTCTCAACCTGAATCACCTGGTCGCGAGCCAAACCATTCTGGTTACGAACCTTCCGCTTTTACATCATGGTCGTGCCGTGTGGGAACGGCAGAAAGAAACGAATCAAGAGCCTTCGTTTTTCTGCAAAGTATGAGCACTTAGCGGTTTTGGGTGATTCTGTGAGACACTATTGAATGTGTCTTCCACCAACACCAATTCCCCCCACGTTGAAGTCCTTTACCATGGACCGAATTCTTTCTACTCTTTCTCGTTGGTGTCCTTTTCCTCTCACTCGCACTCGCACGCACGGAATGCTTTTACTATCCTCACCTTCGTCTCCCCTGTCGTCATTCACACCCTGCGGCATTTCGCAATTCAACATCCGGCTGTTAGTGAAGTTGCCGATTTCTTGCACTATTCCACTCAAGGGCAGATTAGAATTGCCAATGAGCCTAGATCGCGGTCTCGAACGCAATGGTCACTGCGGCCGTGCTTAGGCGCGTTCTTGATGCTGGCGATCTTCTGCCGGGGTCACTGAGCTAGTATCGCCTCAATTCCTTCCCAAAAAAATGTTTCAACCGCTCGTCAGTGACGAAGTCAGTTGTATCCGCACAAAAATATCTGGCATCGCAACCCGTTTCGTCGTCCCCGCCTTACCTTATTTCCCTCCGAGACCTTGACTCATTCATCGACTGAAGGGCCCGTTCCCTTTGAACAGGAACACGACGGGTCTCATCGGCGATGAGAAGCTCGGCAGCCTACTAGTAAATGAAGATTCACGGCAGTTGTTTATGACTTTGCGTTTTACTGCTCGACGGCTTCCGGCGGCTTGGTCCCAGCACAAGGCGGAAATCTCCGAAGCAGAAGTTATTGACAGGCATGCTTCGAAGGCGCCTTGTCTGATACGGTAGCATTTGATGGGGCTGTCAAGGCTCACTGTGACCTATCTCGTCCGCCTCGTGCTCGCCAGGACTCAGTCGTCACAGCTTCCGAGGCGCGGTGGCCGTGGGCTCTTTTTTTCCTAGCCCCGGATTTACTAGGTGACATCGTCTCAGGCACGACACTGAAGAAAGCCACGATGTGGCCTGATATTGGGTATTGCCATCTCGTACCCGAAGTCTCGACCCGATAGTCGCTTGATCAATGACCACGTTGGGTATGGCCAACGAAGAGAAGGTTTCGCGAAAAAAGAATGATCGCCATACGAAGCAACGACCGCGCCTCCGCCCTAGCCACAATTGAACCTAGCGCCTCTGGCATGTGGCAGCGAGCTGGAGGTGTTTCGTGGCCAGGAAAATCAACCAAATAGGTAGGGACTACGAGTCTGGCCTGGCTCGGACTGTTGAGGCCAAGATTGTTTGTTCGATGCGCCAGCCACAGTGCTACGTTGCCAGAGAGGCCGATTCAGGGAGAAAACGGTCCATGGAGGGAGGGCCCTCGTAGACGTTTTGTTTGTCACGGCTCACCTGAAGCCGGAGCCGAAAGCCGGGGCCCAAAAAGCCGGTTCTCGTCTCGTTTATACGATTTGCAGAAGCACTGGGTTCATCGTCGGCACGCATGTACTTCGTAGGTGGTTGTGCGACTGCGCGGCTGCTCCGCACTTTCGTCACCCAACTTGCTCTCGCTTGTTCGGTAGAGTTCCTGGAGGCTGGGGCTTGCATATGTCGGTGATGGCTTCCCTGGGTGTTGAAGGGCTGGCTATCGACTTGTGCAGCGCACACTCACCCGCTCACACGCCCCCCTCCCCCTTCGAATCCACTTCTTCACCGGTCGTCCGTCGTTGGCACGCTCCTGCGTCTCCTACCGGAGGAGGTTTCCTTCCGGGTGGCCTAGTCGCAAGAGCTGCGAAATCCCGGGTGGAGGAGGCGACTTTTGGGCCGCAGGAGCAGCGGCGGCGACGACGGCGGCGGCGCGGATCTTGGCCCTTAGCGGGTAAGTTGACGAGCAGAAGGGGGAAGGGTCGGGGGGTTTTAGTGTAGGGTCCCGCATCGGATCTTGCGCATCACTGCATCGATAGACGCGGATCCCGGCCGACGGCTTCATGGGTGAGAGGGTGAGAGCCTGGAAGGGCAGAAAGGGTATTCGTAGAGAGATTGGCCAAGGATCGATCGGCTTTCTGGTTTGTGAGATGCTGCTGATGTTGCTGCTGCTCATGTGGCCCTCAGTGCCGTGTTAGACGTCGTTGCTGAGGCGGGCTGTTCCCTTTCGGTATCTTGATTCCGCATATCCTTCCACTGGTTTGACTTGGTTCATCCAAAGATCGACACAGCTCTAATCTGTGGTCTTGTAAGATTGGCGGAGGGGTCCAGATTCCCAAGATGAACACACATTCTTTTTTTCTTTAATTCGCAAGTGGGAAAACGGGGGAGGTGTCACAAGTGGTTAGCCAAGCATATCTTCCCCCCCGGTCCCCTTTATTTTTTGGAACAGCGCCGCACGAGTACATTTCCAGATCCGGACGAAGCTTCGATTTATTGGGACGACCCTCGAGTCCCTCCAGATCGATGTTTCGAAACCTTGGCCATCATCATCACGACGCGTTCTTGAAGGGGCATGAGGGGCTGGGGTTGGTAAGGGGGTTTTGATGGTAGATATGGGGGTGGGAGAGGGGGTTATTCACTTGGGGGCCCTTGGCCCCCTTCCTCCAGGCTTCCCCTGCTCTCTGTCTCTCGGATGGGACTACCAATGGAAGGAATCTGAAGGGGTTCATTCTTGCGTGTATGTATTCTTGATTTTCTTTCTGGGAAGTGGTCTTGGATTTCTGGAGAGATGGATGAGACACGGGTTGCTTGCCGTATTCGTGGGGTGTTTGCTTATTCTACGGGAAAGAGAGGGACCGTAGGTAAGTAGGTCATAGGGCCTCGTCCGTTTTTTTTTTTTTTAATGTTTCGTGCTTTTTTTTTTCCTTCCAGGGGTTTGAGAAAGGATTTTGATGTACCTTACGCAGTATACGCAGTAGTACTAGGTAGTTTAAGGTCGTTGTTGCTTTTTCTTAGACGGGTTGGTGATGTGCGCCGCCCTGTGCCTCCTTAGTCAAGTCTGACAAGTCAAACTTCTTTTTGGTCCTGACAGGACGCAGTGCAGCCAGTGGGTCTTTTCCCCCTACCATGCCTTTCATCATGTATTTATTTTTCTGGCTTTACGCAATACGTACATATAACCCCCTTTTTCCCGGGCGATGAAGGCCGAGATGATTGCACCGACCGACCGCCCGGCGGCGCAAACACGGTGGGGGGGGGGGGGGGGTACCTAGCTCACAGGAACGAAACCGGGGGGTGCGGCTGGCTGACAGTTGGGGCGGGCGGGCGAGCCACGAGCCTAGGTTCTATCCGTACCGTTGTCTGGCATGTGGTGAGGTGTCGTTCTCTTATAATTTTGTTTTTATTTTGTTCTTTCTTTAGTTTTTTCTAGGTGTAATTGTTGGTGGGCTAGGCAGGTAAGGCGGGGCGGCCGGGGGTCGGTCCTGGGAGGGGTTCGGTGATGCGCTTTTCCTCGAGTTTGCCCTTGTCCGCTTGTTCATGTGAAGCTACGCTAGATGATGCGGGCTGAGGACGGTTGCGTCGATCGACGATCCTTGCCTGGGAGGTCTCGAGGGGGGAGGGTGGGAAAGAGAGAAAGAGGAACTTTCACTGGCTGGTTGGTTTGGAAAACTTGGGATATTTCGTGCCATTGCTGTGGACGTGATGGGCGGGAGAGAGAGGGGGGGAGTGAGTGGACATGCGGGAAGTTTTTTCTTTGGTTCGACCGAGTTGCGGTTGCCGTAGGATGGGAGGGGGGTTACAAGGTGTTACTAGGGCTGGCTCGGCATAATTCCTTTTTCCCAGCTTTTCCCATGGATGATGGGTGCTGCAGCCTGCGGGTTTTTGTGGATGTTGTATAAGAAGCGTTCAGACGTTTCTTGAGAGGTGAGAGAGGTGAGTGTGTGGAGTCCGTGGGATGCAAAGGGCTTGCTTTGGATATTTGCTTTTTCTTACTATTTGGGTATAGACGCCGCTGCGGAAGGACGGTAGGCGGAGGTGAGGGAGAGTGGGGATTTCGTCTTTGTCCGAGGGGGTGTGTGTTGTGCAGCGTTGAGATGTGGTAGATGATTTGGATACAGAGAGAAAGGGACACTGTTGAGCTTCATTCCTTTCTTTGAAAGCATCCCAAGAACCATGAATGGGAGCATGTTGGTTGAAACCTGCGATGTGGGAATATAAGAGGCCGGGGGGGTTAATGGGAGTGTGGGTTTGGATTACCCATCTACTAAGCTAGTATCGACGAGATCTGTCTACCCACCCTGACGTCGTGCCTGTACTTCATTCTGACAGGCTGCTGCTCTGCTCTGCTCCACCGGTGCGATGCCGAATGCGATGCGCGCAAGGCACGCACGGGGAGGAGTTGTCCCGGCAGGCGGAAAGAACAATAAAGAGGGGAAGTTGAGGTGCTGCGCGGGCTCGGGGACCGGCCGATGGTAACTCGGTGTGAGACTTGCAGGTTCAGGGACCGGGGACCGGGCGGGGGTATCGGGGAGAGAGAGCCGTGGCACGGTCACGGCACTGCGCTGCGCTCAGGGAGAGGTTCCAGTGTGGCGTGGGAGCGCGGCAGATCTTCGGTCAGCTCGAGAGCACAGAAGGAGAGGTGGCGGCCGGAGATATCGGGTGCCGAGAAGTTGTTCCACGGCATAATCAAAGGATCTGGTACTGAGGAATGTTGAAAACGCTGGTAGACTAGAGAGCTAGTGTCGTTGGATGTAGGGAAGAACGTTTGTTAGAGGAGGGCCGGTGCGAGGCGCGCCGGGAGGGCGGCGGTCCGGCTTGGCCCCCGCCTGCTTTTTGGGAGGGTCCGTAGTCTGGACCTGTCTCTTTGAGGTGTGTCATGCGGGCTTGTTGGCAGCGGCAGACAGAGACTCAGAGACTCAGAGACTCAGACAGCGCCAGCAGCCCTGCTGAGATGGAATGACGGAGGTCTGGAGTCTCTGAGTCCCCTTTTTCTGGAGGGGATCATCGAGAGCTGCAAGCTTGAGCTGTGGCACATGTACTTTGTAGCCTAGTTATATACGTACGGATACATTGCCTTGATCACGCATCTGGTAGGGAGCGATGGCGGGTATTACCTATTGCAGGCAAGGGAGGTAAACCGGGATCTCTGGCGCTGACGTAGGGATCAGAATGGAGGCCGGGGGTCGTTCAGCATATACTTGCTTTTTCCCGACTTTTGGTTTCGTTTCCTGATCCCACAACCCTATGCACGAAATGGATAAGATGAGCAACAGGGTAGCTAGTTAGGGGATAGATAGAAAGAAAACGGGCACGACGGGGAAAGCTGGCTTGTGGGAGCCTCTCTAAGCCGAGACAACAAAACAAGAGATGAAGATCGAGGTGAAGATCTTGTGATGGAACTGGTTAGAGCCTCGTCGGCGCAGCCTTTTTTGTCTTGAATTCTTGATAGGGTTGGGTGTCTTTGCGTATCCAAGGTACGCGGTCTCTAATTTCAGACAATCAGCTCCCAAGACGTTTTGTTCTGAAGCCGCATTCTGAATTGACCTGCCTATCGCGGTATGGAGGGCGACGGATGGTTATCGACCTCGACTCCGTTTTGGGATATGAGATGTGCAACAGGGAGGCTTTAGTCCGAAGGGCTTAGCGTTTTGTAGTTGAATAGTCAGGGCACATAAGGGTAGAGGCAAGCACGGCAAGTGAGGATAGGGCTGAGAAAGTTGTGGGCTTCTTTGTGTGCCTGAGTAAGCGTTGCCATAACGTCTTTTCTTTTCCTGTCCATCTCTCTTACCTGACTTCGGACTAGGTTCGGCTCTTGCGAGAGCTTGGCCTTGACTTTGATGGGGGTCTAGCGTGGACTGGGTACGCGAGAGGTTTCCAAAACTGGATAATGGGATTCCTTTGGGAGGAATCGAAGGATGATGGAGGTTGCCTAAGAACTAGTCATGATAGTCCTTGCAAGGGAGAAGCAAAGGGATGGGTACTGTGGGAGGAGCTCCTAGCAGAGCGGGGGAGCCAAGAGTGGCTGTTTTCAGGTGGCGCATTGCGGGCTTAGCGTTACATATTCTAGAAACTCGATCCTATGGATATAGAGGCGTCCGAAGCGTTTATGAGATGTGATGGTTGAAGTATGGAAGCTAAGAAGATGCGGAAGGAAGGGAAGAATGATTAAGATATGGTTACAGTGGCTCTGTGGAAACCGGCTAGATGCGGTAGATGGCGAATATGGTGGGGGGCGTTGAAGGCAGGGAATATTGAAAGAAATGCTCGGTAATTGGATATATCCAAGTCAACAAGGTACCTGTTGTAACTTTGCTAGTTGGTATACGTTGAGTGGGACTTTGGTAGAGGAATCGAGACATGTGGCTTGATGGTGGAATTGACGTGTCAAGGAGGCAGAGTCACAACACGTGGTATACTGACAACGCCTTGAACTCTCTCTTATCTGATGTGATCTGGATGTATCACGTGAACTTGAGTAGATTGAGCGGATTTGACCATAGTTGCAGTGAAGTTCTGGTCTACATGAATCATGATTATCGTGTAGAAGCTATGAAACTTCAAGTCGTGTGGGGTGCATTATCCTAGGCGCCAAGTGAAAACTCTTGTCGAAAAATGAGGGCAGTTCTTGCATAACCTAATGCAAGATGTCCCGGTAATGAAAAGCTAGAGTTCATGATTCAATGTAGTGCTTATCAACTTGAGCAGGCTATAGAAGTGATATGATTGTCCTGCTATCTTGACAATCTGTCAGAAATAGTCTCTGAACCGACTTGTTTATATAGAAACTAAACATCTTGACTTAGTATCACATTAAAATATTTGACATTGGCTTGCAAGTCAAGTTCCACACCTTAGCGAAACGCACTTTCGGTCTCTCAAGCAGCCCGTCAAGTGTGGCCATGGCCACGGCCGACCATTCGCACGGCCTGTGCTAAATCTCCTTCAGCAGCCAATCCTCGAGCAGCCTCTCTTCGAAAAATGATGCAGGACGTGATGCAGAAAAGCATCTCCTGAGGAAGAGGTCCGCACTCTGCTGTGAATAAGGTCAGCTGGCGCTTGATTCAATATCAGACATCGGTTCGCAGGGTGTTGCACCGGTCGGGGATGGTGTTGAGATGGCAGTGCCAGAAAGCAACATCCCGAGGAGCTGGGATATCAAGGCATCAGTATCAGTCCGGCGGCACAAATGAGACAAAGACTGGAGGCAACGCTTACTACAGGAGTAGTGTTAATCTGGCGGAAAAGACCGAGGAGTTTGACGTTGAGAGATGAACGGCTGTCTGGCTTCGTGAAAGGGATTATGCCTTCGGTTCTCGATAGCGTGTGGTTGAATGAAGCTGCCTTTCTTGTGAACCCCGCCAAGTCTAGGTTGATAGAATATAAGTAGAAGGAAGACAATCATTCCGTAACGTCTCGAATCTCGCTCGACATTTATATCTAGGTCCGCTAAAGTGAGTTTGGCTCCAACCTTCTCAAAAAGACTTTGGAGTACTTGGCATCGATCCGTGGTATTGTTGATTACGGGAACTTCCAGGGAATGCTCGTGGTTCATCCTGCCGCTAAGCCGGGTGCTTTACCCTGCGGTAGCAGCACCCAAGATGAAGTCAGTTGCCCGGCTGGAGAGGAGGTTGGCTAACCAATCGCACTGCATTTCTCTTTAGATAACCAAGGATTGCGTACAACGATGGCCTCAGAATTCGTAACATGGAGTATGTTCTTTGGGGAGAAGAGGGCTGTGTTCCTTTCTGAGAGAGCCTCTGTTTGGTTGTGTTCCACTTTCGGGCGAGTAAATTGCGGCTCACCATCATAGCCTACATGCACCGCGGGAGATGAAATATCGTCAGGCCATTGTTGTATACGTATTGCGCCCTTGGAACCAATACCGATGACATTGCATGAAACTCGAGAAATGCTCAGCGATACGTTGAAGAAAACGGCCCTGAAGCTTGGTCTCATTTATAGTTTCAGTTTTGATTGGGCTCGTGGATGGCCTACGGACAAGATGTTCTTCGAATCTGGCCGGACTTTACCTCACTAGTATTGTGTAGACCGTGTACCAGGTCTGCTCGCGGGATACCCTCCGTCTTAGATGGAGGTGGACGGCCGGGACAAAATAGACGTTGACCATCTTGCCATCAAGATTGAGATTAGTACACCGTGATGAAGAGACTGTTCAGGTAGAATTATTTTGGCGTCAACACCAAAATTACAATGAGCTTGAAGTCCGTGTTGATGATGTAGGGATCCAAAGATTTGAATTGATCTACTTCATTCCATGCTTCATGATGTAGCACATGGTCAAAATCCCTTGTCCGGACTATTAGAACCAAGGAGAGAGATCACGGATCGCTATACGCGAGACATGAAAGAGTATGTTAAACTCAGAGATGCCACACGAATCGGGCATAAGCCTAGATGGTAGGGAGGTTGAAGTTGAAATTGAAGTTGAAGTTGCAGTCAAGTTTAGTAGTCTATGGGGATGTAACGTACCCGATGAGGGGAATTCCCGCTGCTACCAATCTTACCAAACCTACTCGGTCAAATGTTGCTTACAAGTATGATCATGAAGTGACACCTTGGAAAGGGAGTTTCTCATGCTATGGTTCGGAATTACGATCGGACCTCTTCAAGGCCATCTTGTCCAGTTCTTCGTCATGACGTTAGCGGCTTTGTGGCTGCGGGCCAGCTTCGGCATTCTCGCCCGCTTACGGCCGAACACGCGTGTGTATGTCCGCTTACGTCCGTCTCCAGAAGTCAACTTCACCTCAGCACCCGGACGGTCCATCTGGCTCATCCGCTGCTTCCCCTTCCACCCCAAGTCTGCCTGCAATCGCCATAGGCCCGAGACGTTGGACCGTAATCAACTGTTCAGACATGGAGCGACAAACCCGTCGACGGCGCAGACCCGCTCTGTCATGCCTAGAATGCAGACGCCGAAAGATCAAGTGTGATCGCGACGAGCCATGTGGGCATTGCACTGCATCAAAACTCCGTTGCACCTACCGAGTATTCGGAAGTGAACCGGCAACTCGGCCAACGGTGCAACAAGCTGTTCAGCCAATGCAGTCAATTCACATGATATCGCCCCTGTCACAGGCTCCGACTGTTGTTCCGGCACATGAGTCCACAAACGATGCCAATGCCATCTCTGAGCCTGGACCGGCGCATTCTCGTCGTCGCGAGGCCAGTATTGGCGATGATGTCAGTGAAGAGGTCGTCGTATCTGGAAACATGGCTCAAGCTTCAGCTGCCGAGCCCGCTCTCAGAGATCTCCTACACCGCGTCCAGAGATTGGAAGAAGTTCAAGTATCTGCTGATACGGCACGACGAAGCCGATCCGAAGTTCCCCAGCAAATGATGGGGAAGGATACAGATTCACGCGTAGTGTTGAAGAAGTCAAGAGTCTGGCGATGGAGTGATTGGATGGGTGAAGCTTCCGAAGTATGTTCTTTGGCTGTGATGGTTGCTAGCAAGGTGCCCACTGCTAACATTTGAACAGTTTGACAGATTATTGGACTGCTATACAAGTTACGTCAAGGCTGCTGCAAATGAGAGTCATACTCCATTTCCAGATGCCGAAACTGAGGCCATGGCTATAGAGGCCGGAACCTTACTACGGAACTGCAAAGACCTAGCGAGGAGCATCAAAAGTTGGCGACCCAGCAGAAGCTTTGGCAACTCTGGAGTCAACCTGGCGGCGCCATCTCGCGAGGTAGCCGATACAATGGTAGATCATTACCTGGATTCATTCGAATCAACCTACCGCATATTACACAAGCCTACCTTCAAGGCGGAATATCAGCGGTTTTGGGATGACCCAGCTAGCGTCAAAACCGATTCGCGCCTCAAGATACTTCTCGTCATCGCGATTGGGTCAA